GAGTCACCTGTGAACGATGGTCATGTGATGTGAGTATCAGTCACCTGGAGGCAGGACATAAAAGCCTGAGTTTTGCCTGAAACTCTCAGACTGAAGAAGTCTCTTGGAAGAGAGACGAAACGTTTCATTAAAGAAGAACCCGTCCAGAGGACATTTACAATTTTTTTACTTTGATTTTTTACCTGGATTACTGAGATGCATCAGGACATGTCATACTCTGTTCAGAGATAAATCTTGGTTTTGCAAAACCGCAGGTGACCATCTTGTGGTTGTTTGCCAGTGCTGAGAGGACAGGACCAATGTTGGCCATGTTGTTCAGAAGCAGCTGCAGTGGGGAGCCAGGATTTCAGGTGACCTCTGGTGGTGATTCAAGGAGCCTTAACGGCAAAGTGCCCTGTCAGAGACTTCCTGCGAAGGGGCAAGTCTTACCCCTCCTAGACAGCAGCCCTGGTTCAATCTTTCAACAAAACACCTGTCCACACATGACCACATTAGACTACCTGCATCATCTTGTAGCCAAACAGGTCCCCCAGTTTTCCCCCAATCAAATGTATGGGATCAGTTCTGGCATTAGGTGCCAGTCTGTTGAATCTCCAGTGTCACTGCTGTCTGACGGTTGCAGGAGAGGATAACAGCTGTATGATTTAGCTCCACACTGATTTACCTCTTGTATCCAGGTCTGAAGGGATGCCACACCCCTACTGGCATGGGTCTAGTGTGCCAACTCCACCAGCCATTTCATATAAYGTAATCATTTATGTTAGTGTTATTTCATTTCCACCACTCCAACAAGGTGCTTTATCTTTTTTTATTTTTGTCAGTGATTGTATCAGCATGTGGCATCGGTGAAAAAGCCTCCAACAAGTTTTTAAACCCAACAAAGATGAGCAAACACATCCTTGATAGGCTGCCTGAATTACAATATAATCCACTAAAAATGCCTTTATTAAGTGACTCATATAGATGTGCTTTTTTTCTTGCTTTGGCTGTATAAAATTGTTTGTATAAGATAATATACTGTATATTTACTTCAGTGCAGACTATGTGCAATTAAATTATAGCCTCAGAAAACAGAATGTTTTTATTTATTTTTTATTTTGTGGAAAATGTCAGCATTTGCATGGCTTCAAATGACTCAAGATGGAGGCTTTTGGACAATAAGATGCAAATTTATTGGTTCCTCGTCCAGGTAAAGTGCAAAAGTCGACCAGAGAAGGTTTTAAAATGACAAATAAAGATTTCCTTAACTGGAAAATATYGATTAGTATCACTGAAAAGCACCACTATGTTAGTAATTCAGTTATCTGCAACAGGAAGATACAATTCTGTTTGACTTCCTGTCAAAGGGAGTCAAGTAAATATTGGATTATAAACCAGAAATTTCATCATGTTTTCAATTAGTAGTACAGCTTCGACCTTAACGGAGAAGCTAATAAGTACAGTATGTAACAATGAGGCAGCATCCTCTATGTCATTTCAATACACACATYTGAAAGAGTAACGTGCAAAAGTTTTAGATCCTTAGAAAGTTTAAAAAGCTAACTGTCAGGGAGTTTCTGATTGATCTCAAACACAAAGTCATTAAAACATAAAAATGTAAGAAAAGCATTTGAAATGGAATTCTGGGATATGTGCTCCGAAATGTCAACCAAGTACCGTTTGAAGAAGTTAGTTTTCCTATTTAGTGGTCTGAAGATAAAATCAAATATAATAAACTTATTATGTAAATTTAAGGATCTGAAAATTTTGCTGGGATTTATAATAATAATAATAATAAAAATGTCAAATAAAATACTATAAAAGTATAAACAGAAAGTAGTAGTCAAAGCTCACTATATACAAAAGAAAGGAAAACCATTACATAAAATACGCCCACCAACAAATTCCATCTTTTTTTTTTCTTCCTTTTTTTTTTCTAATAGCATGTTAAATAATCTTTTCATTTTTGGTTTCAAACACAGCAAATCTGCACTTTTCCACCATCTCTGTTATGTTCTTGCTCTTTTTTCACTTTCACTTACCCTTTTCTTGGGCCTTTGTGTTTTTCTGCTCACTATATACAAAAGAAAGGAAAACCATTACATAAAATACGCCCACCAACAAATTCCATCTTTTTTTTTTTCTTCCTTTTTTTTTTTCTAGTAGCATGTTAAATAATCTTTTCATTTTTGGTTTCAAACACAGCAAATCTGCACTTTTCCACCATCTCTGTTATGTTCTTGCTCTTTTTTCACTTTCACTTACCCTTTTCTTGGGCCTTTGTGTTTTTCTGGTCCTTATTTTTAAACCGTGTCACTCAATACAACAAAGCACAGAGTAAACAACCTGCAATCTGTGGTTTGTACAGGAGGCTGAGGGATAAATATTCAGTAAGACTGTACCGCCATCTAGTGGCTGATTTCTTTTTTTTTTTTTACAGTTTGTCCTCGGTACTCAACACAAACGTCTGAGCTTCAGGGTATAAAAATAGATTATCTTTTAAAAGAAATGAGGTGGAAAAATCACACCCTGATATCCATTCACTTCAGTCTTTTCCAGTAATCCCCTCCTAGGTTCCTTTCTTTGATTCCCATTCCTGTAGGGACACAAGATGAACAAGAGATCAATAAGAAATTCAAGGTACAGTATTGTGCAGAAATGTGTTCACAAAGAGTTTTCTGTGTATATGGGTCTTTTTCAGCTCATTAATACAACTGAAATGGGTAAACAAAATTTTTTTTAGGATTAGACAAAAAAATAAATCTATTTGTGCAAACACGTTTTGACCAAATAAACATTCAAATGAAATGACTACGTGACAAAATCTGTTTCAAGAGTAAAAATTTAGTCAAAATACAGACACAAAGATAAAAAAAGAATAGTTTCAAATGTCTGAAGCAGTTTTGTAGTAATTTAGGAGCAATTATGACCTGTTGTAGATAGCTCTTTATAAGACCTGATCTGATGAGCTAAAGGCTAGTCAGAATCTCAACCAAGACCAAAGTGGGTTGCTGCCGTTCCGAAACAACTAAATTCTCCATGTTTATAACAGTTCACGTAAATGTCATTTTGTAAAACATTAACTGATCATCTCATTTTCACATGATGGAATTCTATGGGAACTAGCAAAAGCAAATCACAACGGCAGCAGCTAGCTGTAGCATTCCAGATGCAGTCTGGAGAAGTAGACGACTGCAGGCACACCACTCAGATCCTGTTGATGCATGTGCAGAAATATCAGCACCCACACTAATGTGCACGAACATTTCTGTCTTCTTTCCAGTTCACAAGTGCAGAAGACTGTTCTGTGCTCAAAAAACAGCACAATTCTGTTAGCTCTATGCTAAAACTATGTGTAAATATTTTTAATTAAGCCTGAATCACCTTGGTCAATGTTATAAATGGCCAGAGTGTTTCAAATTTTTGTAGTGGTTAATAAATACTTTAATAAATAAAAGAGCCAATTTGATAGGAAATTGTATAGAACTAACTTTAACTAAAAATGTTACTTGTTTTATTATTTGTATAAAACAATGCAAATAAAAAAAAAGCCAGGCTTCTGATAGTATTATAAAAATATGTCTGCAGCATAAAATTTTTTAAACAGCATTTGCATGAGCTGTTAAAAATTTTTTGAGTATGGAGTTGTCTTACAGCAGCTTTGGTCCTAGTTTCAATCAATCTAACTCATCAGTCTAAGTCTGAACTCTCTGAACTGAGGTCATTCAAAGAGCTACATCTACAACATGTAAGATGTTAATTGTTCATATTGTTTCCACAGTAGCCACCTGAAAAGACCGGAACATTTAATGACATCATCAAGACACAAAGACAGTTTTTTTTACTGTATGTGTGAAGTATGGAAACTCAGGAGGAGTGAAGTAAATCTGATCAACCTCACCTTGGCTTTCTGCATGACAGTTCCAGTACAAGACGCGTAAACAGAAGGAGGTCTCCTCCGCAGCTCTGCAGCACAGTTTACTGGTAAAGACTCGCTGTAGATGTTCTGGATCTTTTTGCTAGACGTCTTCAGAGAACAGAAAGTATAAATACTTGTTTTTCAAGTGCGCGTTAACAAAGTAATGTATTTTCACAGGATGCCACAGTTTTACCTTAATGGGTGGCTTGGCCTCATTGGGTGCGCTGAGCGCTGAACCTGCCTGACTCTTCTTCAGGTTTTCTTTGACCTCAGTGAGCCGGAGCTCCAGGTCCACCCTCTCTGCCTCCTTAGCTCGACAGGCTTCCTCCAGCTCGAACACGCGCTTGTTCAGGAAGGCTTTCCTCCTTTCTGCTCCATAAAGACACGGAGAATCAGCACGACGAGAAATACAACAGCTGTGCATTGTGACAGCCATGTTTACCCAAGTTCCCTCTGGGATCAATAAAGTATTTTTGAACTGAACTGAATTTAATGTTGTTGGCTATAAAATTATGCACTTCTAGAGGTACTTCCAATGATTATTATCTTAAAGATGACTTTTTTGTTTATTTGTTTTATTTTTAACATGTTATCTATACAGATAATCATTTTAAGAAATGAAGAGATGAACAGAAAAAGAAAACCAACATAAATAAAAAAGTGCTACACATTTTGTATAGCTCACATGTCAAAAAAGAAGTTATCAAGTTTTACTAATCTAACTTCCTATTAATACGATCACTAATAGAAATAATATAATATTTACAATATATCATGTTTTTATAAAGCTTTAAAGTTCATGAAAACAATTTCTTTATACTTTCTTTTAAACAGATTTATGTTTGAACATTGCTTCAACTCCACTCTTAAACTCTATCAGACATTTTGCTAACAAAGTTGATTCCGAACAGCAAAATTTAAATCAAACATTTCGCACAATCCATTTGAGCTCAGAATATGTGCTGAGTATCAATCACAGCTAAAAACACTTTTTATTTTAAGTAAATACCTGCAAAATAACCTGAGTKGCAAACATTTTGTTTCAAGGCTGTGGGTTGTAGATGTGAATCTAACAATTACTTTCTGCAAGTCGAATTCAAATTCATGCAATAGTTTATGAGATACTTTGCTAAAAGGCACATAAACACACTGGCACATCCCAGACATGGCAGAATCATTATCACATACCTCTGCCTTTAAAAGCAGGTAAGTAAAAGAAATGAAAGACTTTCTAAAGCCAAACCTCTGATGGCAGAATGCTATGTGAAGCTTCAGGAAACTCATTAGTAAGATTTTGTAGACGTTTCCATAACTGTGTTGTTGGTTGTAATAATAATTCGTGAGGAGGGAATTTCCTTTCACATGGCCTTTAAATAATACAGGTCAGAAAGCAGGATCGTAAAAAGAAAATTGCTATAGTTTTACTTGTTTTCTGTATATCCCCCTGTTCTATTTTGTGCTTTCGGGATTTACTCTCTTCATTCTCAGTTTACCCAGAAACACAGATATTTATTAAAGCTGTGTTCACTCAAATTTTAATCCAAATTTTGCTGATTTATGTATTGTTTTTCAACAATTATCAAAATGGTTTGCACAGCATCTGCTTTCTGTTTTTAGCCCCCCTTATTTCTCTCCACTTACCCGAGGCCATCTTTAGCTCCTCCTTCAGCTCTCTCTTCTCCTGTCGTAGAGTCACCAGTGTGTTTCGGATCCCATCCCTCTCCTTTTCCAGGCCCTCTTTTTCCTTGAGGTAACGTTTCGCATCCTCCTCTGCTCGTGTTTTCCCATACTTTCCGTACTGGTTGGCATCTGGGTGGGAGCAAAGGTGAAGGGGGTCAGATGTGTAGAGGTTGTGGGAAGAAGACAAAATAAAAATAAAAACGTGCACCGTGATCCTCCTCCTAGTCTGATTCATACTCCGTCTGAGAAGCATAATGAAGGCACGTGTAAGTACATCCCGCTGGTTTGGATTTTCCTTTGTTATTTAAACAAAAACATTTGATTTTAAAGGGGGAGAACGATTATGTGATGAACACACACTTTAAGAGCAGGAGGTCAAAGGTGAGGCAGTGTGTGTCCAATAAATCTCTGGTTCCATCCTAAAGCCTTCAGTTGGGAAACAAGCCGGGCTCTTTGATGTTCTGGAACGTGACCACAGTGATGAAACTCTGAACTGATACAACTTTCTACAAAGCAGAACTCTAATCTCCTCGACTTGGAGGAGAAAAAAAAATGGCTGAGATTATAAATGAAAAATGAAATGAGGATCAGCAGAAAAAAGTGAAACCCTGTGACAGATGGAGGCCCTGAATGAATCGGACCGTCTGTGAACTGGCTCACCACTAAAAGGAGTGTTCGAAGACTGTATGCTCTAACGCACAACAGCAGTGGAGTCTATGAGTCCTCTGTGAGATGCAACTGTATTAAATGTGAACATTTGTATTACTTCAGGTTTCCCTTATGCCTCATTCTTCTTATATTCTCTGAGATGACACAGATGGAAAGTCTGGGTGGGTGTAAAGCTGACAAAACAGGGTCCAACAAAAATGAAACAAGAGCAAAGGAGTTCCACAGGGAATATCATTAGGTCTTMTCCACTTTCAGCTGAAAACCATCATTTCTTCCCACTCTTTCGGAGCTGATCTAGTCTGTCTGTTTATGGAGTATAAGTATCCAAATCAAGAAGGGTTTTTTTTTGTCTCCACATGTATGTTAGCACCCGTCATTCATCTGCTCATGYTCAGTGACAACATCAGGCGAGACACCACCCAACATCCCTTTCAAGCTGCCAGTCTAATGCTGCTTTGGYGCTCAGGAACATTTGAAACTCACACAGGACATGCAGTATTGTGAATAGTTTGGAAAAGCTGGATCAGCTAGATATAAGCATAGTGAGAACGAAAAATCCAGACAGAAAAKGGCAAAKRCATGTAAAGGGTATCTGATCCCTGWACAACAAAAGCAAGAGMTCTGTACRCAGTCAGTGCATAWAATCGAGCTCATTCCCAGKGCAGGTTGGACTCGTCAGGGCTGTCCACCATCTCCAGTCCTATTTGTGGTGTTCATGGACAAGATCTTCATTTCTTACAGTTTGGTAACTTCAAGGTCTCAACTCTGCTTTTGGTAGACGATGGTGCTCTGTTGACATCTTCAGACCATAACCTTCAATGAGTACTGGGGAGGTTTGCAACAAGTGTAAAGTGGCCAAGATGACAGTCAACCCACATAAAGTTGAAGTTCTCAACCAGAAAAGGGTGGAATGCTCCTTCCAGGTCGAGGATGATCCTCTGCCTCAGTTCAAGGGTTTAGGTGTCTTGTTCATTAATGATGRTAGGACAGARCAGAAGATRGATCAATAGATCGGAGCCWTGTCAGCAGTAATAAGGGCATAGCTCCAGGTTTGTCAAGTCAAAAAATAAAAAGAGCCGAGTCAAATAGCAAAGCTCTTGATTGGCTGGTTTGTTCATRTTTCAACCCTTTCCTACGATACACGGATCATGACTGAAAAAAAACAAGATCTGTGTTCAGCAACCATAGGGTAGCCGAGCAAAGCCTTGGAAGTCTAACTCATCTAGGAAGAGCTCAACAGAGGCAACTCTCCTTCACATGTTTTTTTTAGGGCATGCCTCACTGACAAGACAGCACATGGCAGATCCAGTACTTATCTGGCTCAGGAATGCCTCAAGGTTGTACATATACAATTTATACCCTACACCGAAACAGAACGTAACTAATTTTAACAGTACAAACAGGTTTCCCACTGTTGGTAYATGCATCCACCCAGAAACTAAATGAAGCCACTATATCTCAAATAGGGCTGCCACAAACGATTATTTTTATAATCGATTAATCACCGATTATTTAGCCATGATACCAGAGCCTGTCTGTWTAATGTCTTGTGACGTCCACGGCCTACCCCAGTTACCACTACTGTGCATGTGTGTCAAGGACAGAAAGGCAGATGTGGCAGTGGAAGGTGTCAAAGCAGTTTGGAGAGAAAAACAAAGTAAAGAACAAAAAAAGAAAACGATTAATCGATTATTTAATAAGTCATCGATTATTTTAATAATCGATTAGTCGTCGATTAATCGATTAATCGTGGCAGCCCTTATCTCAAATCATGTAAAAGATGTCATTAGGATCCCCTGATTTACTGTACATCCATACACAACATAAAAGTAAGAACCATGTACTCAGATTTTGACCTTATCTTGACCTGAGCTTCTGTCAGTCCCCACATCAAACCTTCTCTAGCTGTTAGGYATCATTGGGCATCATCAAAACCCAAAGCCCAGAAAAAGACACAGAAATAYACACGTACACAATGGTAAGCCCATGCAATGGCATGGGTTATTGAAACAAGACACTCTTAAGTCCAAAGCAGGGTGCAAGGAGGTGAAAGTGCAAGTTAGTTTTAAGTACTTCTGACTGGTTAAGCTGTTATTGCATTCCTAAATAAGACTTGGCTTTTGAAATCTGCTGTTTAGGCAGTTTTGTTGTTTTTCTTTTCTTTTTGCATCAGCTGATGAAATGACATATTTCCAACACCACGTMACTGTTACTGAAACTGCCACATGTTTAAGGTCACAAACCTGCCCTGTACTATTAGTTAAAACCACATGAAAGAAATGACTTCCCACTGTATAAACAACAGGTTTCCCCCCATCTGTTAATGGAACAAAAGGGACYGAACGCACTCACTTGAGCCGGTTCTTTTCAGGGAAACTGAGGACTTGGTGTTTCTGTCGACGTGACTGTTTGAGAAACCGGAGAGTCGCTTCTCTTGATTCCCAGACTGCTGCTTGTGGTTTTCCTTTGACTGGGTGGAGTGGTGGAGATGAGACGGGGGGAAAAGTGCGGGGTGCACATGTGGGAGAATGGGAAGAAAAATGTAAAGATATTATTAGGGTTAGAAAGAATCTTGTAATTAGATTAACTGAGAACTGTCGTAACCTTCTTGTTCTATGTTTTTTTTGTCTTCTGCATCAGATCATGCTTGATTTATTTGAGTGTGATGGGGAGTGTCACTCACTAAACCTCTAATCGGATGACATCACAGTTAAGCATCACACATGGGGTGAAGATAAAACTTCAAAAATACACATGTACGYGTTTTTATCCACAAGCATGTGTGTCCCACCTGCAAGTCCTCATTAGGAACYTCGTCATACGTTCTGGAATCCGTAGATGTACTGCTGGAGGAGGTGGCCCACCTAGGATCGGAGAGATGGAGGTGAAAAGAGAAAAGAAATAAGCATCACCGACTGCCTCTGACCTCGTCCTCAGATCCCAGACCTAAAACCCCCACCCCACCCGTTCCACTCACAGGAAGGAATTTCGTGCAGCGTCACGAATGTTCGCTATGGTATCCACGTCCACGTAGTCGTAATGCAGAGACTCRGGGTCTGTAAACGAGCCCGTCTCTGCCAGAAGGACGCCGAGCCACCGTCCAAGTTCCTCAGAGCTGCTCGCCTAACAAAAAGGATGAGACAAACGTTCATACTAAATGAGTTTAACGTGATTTCTTGTATCGTTATTCTTTCAGGAGAATWAGGACGAGCAGTTTTCTCCCCACACAGGCACATTATGCCTTTTTTTTTTAGTTTGGCTTGGTCCCCACCTTAGAAAAACATCTTGCTCACGGGCTGATTATTGTTCTATGAGTTTATTTGAGTTCTTTGGAGCTTTTTAAGTGACMCCATCTGTCTGGTGTTGGGCGAGACGACAACAATGAGCGAAATGGGCCTCAGTCAAAGGTCAACAAGCATTACATTTGTGGAAAAAGGTCTCGAAAAGGCTCTTCTCAGGAAGTCAACTCACATTTGAACTATTTTTATTTGACAGTGTTTTATTGCTCTAATAATGTCAAACCAGGTATGAGTGCAGTTTTSTTTTCTTAAAGGGGCAATATCATGTAAAATTAACTTTTTTTGAGTTTTATATTATGTTATAATGTTATACTCTCATAAATAAAACATGCCCAAAGCCTTGCTTTGACTCATTCATGC